TGGGGTCAAGCTAACCATTAGAGCCCAGCATAATAGTATTATTGAAAAGCGCTTGTTCTCACTTTTCAACAGTTCTTTAACACAGAAATTTTATTGCAGTGGTTGTCTCTAGCATATCTGAATTTCAGTTACCCTGTCTGCTTCAGTAGTATGTCTTTGATAACCGGCATGTTTTTCCTGCTTTTCCAAACATCAGAATCCCTATACTGAAAATATTGTCTACAGTCCAAGAATTTTTCTCTTACAAATATACCCAAGTTATGGCATAAATTCAGCTTCTTAATTCAGCTGCTAAACCCCTTCAAACCCATGTTTTAGTGCACTCCTACGTGGCAGATAGCACAGCTGAAAGTATAGGACAAGCCATATGTAGAAGAGAGTAACTTTGCTTTACTTCATTTAAAGTCATAAATGCTATCAAAGCAACAAAGTACAGACAGCCTTGTTTTCCTGAGTCTTAGGGGCTTCATTAAAGCTTATTGGAGCAATGGGAATTTTGCTGTGATTTCAGTAGGAGTGTAGTTGCAAAAGTATTTAACCAATTGGGAGCAGACATATGCTAGCTATCGCATGATAATGTAATTAATTGATAGTGAACTGTACTGAAAATAGTAATTAACTAAGACGTAACTAATGTGTTCTTCGTTATCAATGTGTGTTTTAATCTGCATTAAATAAATGGTATTGTCTTCCAAAAGCTCAGCAAAGAAAAATAGTAAGACTCTTAATTGTGGGAAGGCTGTCCAGACTGCATGACAGGCGTCTGTGGAGACTTCTTTAAATAGAAGACAAGTGAATGGAATAAACTGTTCCAGCAGAATGCTCTACTACAGCCCCATTTTACTGGGAAGCCCACTGTTAATTCAAAATATACTATTGTATCATTGCTACCTGCTTCTGTCTGTTGATACTTCATTAACTGTAACTGTAGTGGTTAAGAAGCTACACACTTTGTCACCAGTCCTTCTTTCTGCTATTTGGTTATTCATTTACAATCAGGTTAGAGTGGGTTTTGGTCACCACTACAAACCAGAAAGATGAGAATTCTCACTCTGGACCAAATCAGCAATCTCTTGGTCTTCTGAGAGTAACCAGTATAAGATGCTTCAAAGGTGTGGAATACCTTGTGATGGATAATTCAGAAATTAAAAACATGCAGGACGAGATCTTTCAAAAACAGTTGAAGTTGAGCTAACATCAAAGCATAAGGCTTAATTAGTCTAGGGTCATGCGATCCCAGTGGATTTTGAAAGTTGTTACACATGAACCTTTTTGCTTAGTATGTTTTGATGCATGGTTCTCATCTCTGATCCATTTCAAACAGACACAGGTGTACAGAAGGCAACAAGAAGAAATAAAATTATTTATTTGAAATATTAGTTAAGTATATTTAAAATTCAGTATTGGCATCAGAGTGAGGATGTCTCTGCCAGATCTTATGCCTTACTACACAGAGGCCTCTCAATCTCAGCAGGCTTCCTTGGCCCTAGGCACTGTGAATGGATGGTTGCATGTAGCCAGAGGAAAACATTTATTACCAGCATTTAGCATAGCAGGCTTTGCTGATTGTGGAGTCACTCACAGAGAGTTTAAATTGCAAGGCTTTGTATACATTGCCCAGTGACTTTCTGTGCCATTCCTCTGTTGTGCTCAGCTGTGGGGAGTTGCGGATACTCAAGTGCTTTGGGACACATTGCTGACATCATTCCATCAGCTAAAATGGGTTACTGTGAAGTGTCTTTTGGATCAAACCTTACAGAACAGAGAGGACCATGACTTGTATAACCCCCCCTCACAGCTAAGGATCTGGTGTCTTTCTGAACACAATTTTCATTGTGAAAAGCCTCTGTAAGCTTCAGTGTTTAATTCCCAAATGTACCTGTGCCCATTTGACATTTTATGAATGTTTATATGTTAATATAAACAAATTAATAGTAGGGTTGTTTTTTTTAAAATAGGAATTTAAAAACTGCTTCTTGAGCAGTACTTCTCAGGTAACTCTGAGAGAGCTTACCTCATAAAATGTGTTCTTGTAGTCCTGATTAAAAGCTTACTTCAGTTGTTAAGTCCTTAACTTTTAGGTACGCTTTGTAATTCCTCACTTATTGTTGCTATTTTTTTTCTAATGATGGTAGTCACAATTAAGTCCTCTTTTTATCAGTTTGCTTGTTAGCACTTTCTCTGTTCATGTCCTGTCAGCATCTTGAATCAGTCTCTCAACCCTTCATCGCTGAAGGTGATTTCCTCTAATTGCATATTCAAAGGACAACAAAACAAATAAGAGACTGTCTTGTTTAGGGAGAAGATGTTTTGGCCATTGTTTGGAGTATTTTGAGGAGCAGGTGTGTGGGGACAGGGATAGGCATGAGGTTGTGTACCTTTTCTCTCTGGATTAAGGCAGATGCCAGGCTGACACTCAACTTTTTCTTGAGCTCTATAAATTTTAGCTGCTTTCCTGGGAGCTTCAATGGCAATATAGAGTGCATCCCCCAGCCAAGCAGAGAGCAGCCACTATCTTGCAAGCATCTATCAGCCTCAGAAGAGGCATTGATCCCAAATCTTTTACTTCCTGGAGAAATGCTAGAGCCACTTCCTTTTCTGCCTTGAGGTACACTTCAAAATACATTAAAGAAAATGAGTCAGTTACAACTATTTTTATGAATGGCTTAGTTTGTTGGCTCTTTCAAAGTCTTGCTGAGAACATGTGTCAGTTTGACTTGACTTTTCATTTGGGACCACATTGGTTTCTTTTTATTGAAGCAGCTCACTAAATGGCTCAGGATTTAAAGCAGTCTCCCTCTGAAACTGTGGGGATATAGCCATGGGATGGTGGTGCTTTCAGGAAGATGGCTATTGAACACAGGGCTTTAAAAACTTTTTGTTGTTTTAAAATCGCAGCTTTAGACTTAGATGCTTACATCTGCAGTATTTTGACAAAGTTTGTTTAACTGACTGCTGGCGTTAACCTGGCCTACTGTAAGTGCTTAGTAGAGTTTTACCTTGAATTAACACACACTTTTCCTTCTCCGCTCCCCATAACCTTCTGCTAAAGGCAGGCAAGGTTTAATCTAAGCCATGTTTGGGGTTAATTGCTTGCATGTAAGAGCCATGTTCACACAGTGCTGTGTTGAGAAGATACTTAAGGGCAAAACCCATCCCTCTCTCTCCCAGACACAGAGCTGTGCTTTCTTGTGCTGTCTGTGCAGGCAGAAGTGTACAGAAAAAAGCGACATGAAGGTTACTGGATCATAACTGGTGATGCACCAGTGAGAAATTCTGCCAGTTGACCACCAGGTGGTACTAGGGCTGCATTTAGGGAATTAAATTGCCTTCAGTTCTGGTCTTTGCTTTCCCTGCCCGCCCCCCCCCAGCAGAATCTGGATAAATGCACCCACCAACGTTGCACTTAGAGGTTTGCTGCATCAGCAGAATGGACTGTTCAGGCAATGCATCACCTAGGTAATTAGCCTTTACTTTTACAGTCAAGAACAACACTTTGAGCATGTTCATCTCCCATCATCCCAGCTCTTCATTGCCACTTTCTCAGAATGCTCTGCTTTAATCTGAGGTTGCAGTTTCAGAACCAGTAAGTAGTAGCCCTGTTAACTTTTTTTTTTTTTTTTCTAAACAGAACTAAGGGCATAAATAGCCCCGTTTCTGTAGATTTCTGTTGCAGTATTTTGCCCAGGCTACATTACCTCCCCTCCCTTTGCAGACCCCTAGTATCCTTTTATTGCTAGCTGGGTCAAAGTCCACATGTGCACTGACTGTCCAGCCACCAGAACAAACAGAAGAGATAAGGGAAGGGCTAAACTCTAAACTTAGTTAAGAATGCTAATTTAGACTTCTCTTTACTATCTCATTTCCAACAGTCAAATCTGTAGAGAGCCTTGTTGCTATTACCAAGTTTGGCTGAAAAGTTCTATACTCAGTGACTAGTTAGGCAGGGAAGAGGGTAGAAGCAGGACAGACAGTACTTTTTATCTTTCAAGATAAGGCCTGGACACTTTTTGAAAAGAAACAGGGATCTTCTATACACACTTGTCGTGGTTTAACCCCAGCCAGCAACTAAGCACTAAACAAGTAACTGTATCCCAGCTGAAACCAGGACAACACTAACTAAAGGATGCAGAGCTTTCAAAAAAAACCAAAGCAAAAAATGTGTGCCAGGGCTTGCAGAGTTAAATAACACTACAACATTTAAGGCGAAAAAAAAAAAAAAAGCTTCCGAAGCTTTCTCCAAAGCTTCTGAACCTTTAGAAATTCTGAAGTGAAGAAGTGGTAGTTGGCATTGCACAGCTGAAATCATTCCTCCGTGTTTGTACAACATAGATTTTCAGGAAGAAAATAAGGTTTTCATCCTAGGAACCTGAGAACCAAATGTTTTACTGAATATAGGATTCAGCTACACCCTTTCCTCTTAAACCTACCATCTGTGAGAAGAGCCAACTGCCTTGCTGTTGGCATATGTTCTCACACACATTCCTCTTTTGCTATGTCCCTGCCATAAACCCCTCTTCCTCCTAAAGTAACATCCCACAAGGACAACATGAAGGTTTTATGCTGTACTTGGTCACACATGTGGACACACACTATGTGAACTGCCACATTAAAAACAGACTACAGTATTTCTAGACATCTCATTTAACATGCATAGTAGTATCTTTCAATAAAGTGAATCGATGCCTTTATTTTGTACCACCAAGAGAACTGACCCTGTTGGTAACTGGAGGATGGCAGGCTGAGTCAATGTCCAACATTTAAGACTTAGTCAGCTAGTAAAGACACTGAGCTATACCAGAATAACCAGGAAGTTTTTCTTCCTTAGCAGAAGAAAAAACATTTAAAAAAACATTACTTGCTTGTTACTGAAAAATTTCAAGCATGAAGAAAAAATGAGTTTTATAAAGTTAAGGCTTCTACAGCATCCCTCTCATGTACTCCGTATTATTCTACACCGAATAATTAGCTTTTCTTCATGCATAATTAACACTTTTTTAAAATAAATTCCCTTTCTTACAGTGAGTCACAGGGAAGACACGGGGTAATGTGTACAAGTTACTCCTGGGAAGATTCCAACTGGACACAAGAGAAGAGTTTTTCACAGAACAAACAGCCACTGTAATAATCTCCCCAAGGACGTGGTGGATTCCCCACCATTGGACACTTTCAAGATTCAGCTGGACAGGATGCTGGGCCATCTTGTCTAGACCGTGCTTTTGCCAGAAAGGTTGGACCAGGTGATCCTTGAGGTCCCTTCCAACCTGGTATTCTGTGATTCTATGAAAGCTGGAAGTGATGACTTTATAGTATTGTTCCCATATGCATGATCCCTGGAAGAATTTCTCTAAACCTTCTTACCCTAGTAGCATGTTGAAGAGGAAGCGATCCTTCTTCCAAACTTACATTAACCAACATAACAAACGAGAGAGTCACTGTTCTGAAGTAATTCTAAAGCTCAAGAAAAAAAAAACCAAAAACCACAAACCCACACCAGAAAACACCACACACAACCCCCCTTCCCCCACTTTGCTATAAAGATGAGCATACAGAAAAACCATTCTCAGATCTTTTTCTGTATTTGAACTGGTGTAGCTAAAGGCCTTTATATTTTTGCTAAATTTTTAAAGCAGTTCAATATAAGGCTCTCTGAAAATTGCTTTTCTTTTCACTACATCAAAATTATTTCCTCCATGAGTAGTTTGTCAACTGAAACGCAATGAAGAAACATACAGCTATCTAGAGCAGTGGTAGGTCTAACACTGATGTAAACCATGTATGATTGGCTCAAAAGAGGGACAGCTTGCTCTGAAAGTGCATTACAAAAATAGCATGTTCACGCTCTCACCTGTGCAAGATACCTGGAGACTCTGGAAGGTTACAATCCCTTATTTTTGCCATGTAGACTTATTCCTAGCAAATCAAGATTTACTGAGTCTTACTTGCTTACTGAGTTCTTTTCATGCAAGAAGTGTGAGCTATATGAATTACATAGGTAATGGATTGTTTGGTATTATAATTTATTAGTATGCAATCATCACATACTCTGCCTCTGGCTGAGTGCTGCACATGCTCTTAGACACAACAACAGTCCTATAATATGGGACTATTTGAGCTGATGAAAATGTGAATGAAAAGAAAAATACAACAACCTAACAAATAGATTTTGAAAAAAAAAAAATCAGTCACAGCAGTTAACTGCAAAAAATACTTGGATGGAGGTGGTAGCAGTCTGATTAGTCTTTAGCAGCTGGCTGGCTCTTCTACTGCATGAGCACCTTCAACAACAGCTTTCACACACTTGGCCATTGTCTGGGATGCTCTACTGATTGAATCTGAAAAAAAATAATCCAAACACATGTCAGTGTGTTTTAACTGTTCATTTTCAAAATGATACACAGACACGAGAGATTTAACACAAGACTACATGCAAAGAGGATAAAGAAAATCGCTTAGTTGAAAAATGGTCTAGTTGTCTGTGCTTTATGCAAATTCTAAATCATTTTACTGGAAAATTTTGTTTCTTCAAACGACTCAAATCCTATGTATCTTAGTGAAAAGCTTTAAATGCCTCATAAGAATCTTACTGTAAAGCTAAGTAAAATGTATTACTGATTTCAGAATGAAAAGGCCATACTATACATACCTGTCATATAAAAGTCTTTTATTGTGAGCTGAGGTGGAACAAGAGGATCAGCAAGAAGCTGTTGCTTCACTAACTGTGGCAGGAAATGAAAAAAAAAGTAAAGGTTAGCTTTATGATAGGAACTTGTTACCAGAGCGTTTGTTTAGTGAATTCTGCATTCAGTGCAGGTCAAAGAATGCTTGTAGTACTACATATGAAGAAGGCCCATTTCTATAAATAGCATCAAGTCATGTAACAGCACTAAAACATGCCCAGTTGCTTCAGGTTTCGTTACCTTTGACAATTCATTTGCCTGGCTGAAGTAGTTAGCCTCTTCCACATCATCGTATCGAACCAGATTAGGTGATACTTCTTCTAAACGCTTCCGTACTTCATCAAGGTTCTCATAAGGCAAGGTCATACCAGCCAACTAAGAGATTCACAGAAAGAAATGCCATCAAGTCTAGGGATTCAATACACAGTGGTTTAAATTACCAATCCATTAACATACCTAAAGTAAAATCAGGACAAATCTACACTCATGAAAACACAGGTAGTTATAATGTGAAGCAAAGTCACAGTATGCTGTTGGACTTCTGATGCCTACAGTTAAGACTTCTCCATGTTAAAATATTAGGCTGTCCTGTATGCTATACAAAGGAAAAAAAAGAGAAGTACTTTTCTCCTTCTGTACAGTACACTCATACTTTCCCTAGTTTCCCACCAAATGAGATAGAAGTTGATGCAATTATCAGTGCATCTCGTTCACAGTGACTAGTAAGTACATATTTGACCTTATCTAATGGTGCCAGTTCCTGTCCTCAAGAGTTCAAGTTGTTTTCTTTCTAAAAGTCAAAGGAACTGCACCCTTCCACCAGTTTCCTCTAAAGCACTTCATGAAGACCAGCAGAATTTGCAGACAAAGCATTCTGATAGCATACAGCAGCTACAATATTAGTGCTATCCTCAAAGGGGAAACAGTATGACTTAACTCACAGAATTATCAAAGGATTCAATACAAATCATTACTTCTTAAGACTGCAGTCATGTATTTCCCAGAAAGTGTACCTCTCTTTTGGAAGTATTTTTCAACACAGAACTTAACCTCTCAGTATACTTTTATTAGAAGCAATATGTAACAGCAACAGTACCTCTGAGACAGCTCTAATAATTCTCCAGTCTTCCCTTGCCATCCCAGGTGGTGTTACTGCTACTCTTGTCTGCTGGGCCCTACCCTCAGTATTCACATATGTGGCCGTCTTCTCTGTATATGCTGCTCCTGGCAGAATAACATCAGCCATGGGAGCTCCTACATCCCCGTGATGTCCTAAACACATGGAAAGAGGAAACAGTATACAACCATGTAAGACATAAGTCAAAATACATAGTTTCTATGCTCCCAGAAAAAAATGAGAGTTTCTAAGGTTCACTTAACCAGTAATATAAAGCCTATTAGGCTGACTGCTCTGAGGTCTTACTTGCCTAATACTTTGGGGAGAATGAACAGACTACAGGCAGTAAGTAGTAAGTGGTAGTTCAGTATGTATAGCTACTCAGCTGGAACAAGGATGCTTAGTGAACTAAGACCATCTTTTAGTATGACAAAACACCTGGGAACCAATGGCATTTTATCTGCTAGGTTTGAAGCTATGCTCCAGGAGATCAAACTGGTTTATTATACCTTATTACTCATCAACAGTTTCTAATTCTTTTCTAAGAAATAACCAGTATCTCAGTTATGTGTTGGAAGTTCCTTTTCCTGGCAGAAAATAAAGGCTAGAATTTATCAAAGGGTCAGAAATGTTTGTAAGAATATGCCACTGTTCAGGCTTTCTCTCCAGCTATCAGATAGCAACATCTTTCTTAATTTACATCTACTAATTACCTTGATAGATGATAAAACAATCCTTTGGCAAATCCTGACGTGTTATACAACCCGAATCTGCTCCCAAGAGATACAATACTTTGGGAGGATTTTTCCTAATTGCCTCCACTCCTGGTTTGAAACCCAGATCCAAAGCAGCTACCTGGCTTGCAACCCTATAGGAACAAACACATTGCGACTTTTAAGTTATTTCAGAATTCTCCCTCTCCCGTCAGAACAGACCTATCTTATTTTTTTGACTCAATATTTAGGAGGGACATGAGGTCTCTTAACAGTAAGAGGACAAAAAGTAAGAATAAAGGCAGCTGAAAATTATGACAGAGTGTTTGACAGAATATCAAGCTGATTTTGCATTTTGACAAATTGATGCCGTTTGAAGTTTTCACGGGGAATCTCACCTATTTAAGATGGGATAGCAAAATAAAGGCAGATGTTCCAGGTCAGGGCCTAGTGGCAGGCAGCTCACTTGTCATCTGGAACATCAAGGTTCACATTTCAGCTATGAATTGAACTCAACAGGCCTTTAATTTAAGGCACTCATGTGGAAGATGAAAGACCAGCTGCTGGGCCATGAACTACTCTGAAGCATTTTAAGACTTAAGACCACTATTTCATCACCATTTATTCACAAATAAAAATACTTTTAAAAGATTGAAATAATCACTCTTGTCCTGCATAATCCAGTGCCAGACCTACATTTAAGAGAAAAGGGATTTTCTGTGTAGAGTACATATCTTCTAATGTTACTTGTGTTTGTCTGACACAATCAGACATATAGGTTCTATTAAGTTGCTTTTTACACCTATGGTAGGGAGGATGGTGCACCAAAAGCATGCAAGTCAGTAATATAAAAGACTGCCAAACCACATGTAAAAAAGGTATCATGAGCGTTATTTAAGTCACATTCTGGTATTAAATGTTTCAGTTTCAACAGCAGGATTTTATATTCAAGTTTCCTTCAGAGGTCCAAGCCCTACTCTTGCTATACTAGTTTTACATCAGTGAAGCTGCTTTAGGCAGAAGGACTTTGTTGAGTCTCTGAATCTAAGCACCACTACATTTGCTGAAATAATTTTTCCTTTACAGAGGGTGCCAATTTGACAGTTTTAGAAAGAGAATGGGGAAGGACTGTCCCAAGAGAAACTTGCCTATTAAGAGAATAACTAAGATCAAAAGCCCTAAAATTAAAAGCTTTGAAGCTTTTCCATTAACTATTAAGAAACTCCCCAGTAAAAGGAATATTATAAGAAACCAGATTATTTAAGTACTCCTGCCCTTTTGTTTTTCTTCCTCCAGATAAAAAGCAATCATTTGGAAAGCGATACCAGTCTGCTGTGCATTCTACTGAGCACTGTTGTATGTTATTATGCTCTCTTGTATTCTATACCTCCTAATTTAAAGTTTACATTATACATTTAAATATAATAGATTAATGAAATCTTATGGAGAGCCCAAAAAGTTTCCCAGGTCAAGGGACACATTTTTATTAAAAAGTTTCTGCAGTTTGTACTTCGTTTTTTTATATTCCCTACAGATTCTAACCTGATAATCTGCTTGTGTGTACACAGATCTGCACACATAACACTGTGGTAACGTATGTTACATGTAACATCTTACAGTGTAAGTAAAAGTGGCTCCCAAAAAAGCTTTAAAGCAAACCTGTGGAGGATGTTCATGACTTTCCAATCAGAACCAACACCACTCTTAGTCCTGGCATTTTGTGCAATAGTGGAAACAGCAGCATGGATAGCTGCTCCATCACTGCGCTGCAGTGCTGCACTGCCTACCACCACCATTGGCTTTTTGGCCTGGTCGAGGACCTGTACAAGTAAAGAATCAAAAAATTCATTCCAAGGCTCTGAAGACAATTCTTGGTGCAGATAATGTAATAAATCCTGTAATTTCTACTTAAGTCTTCTATGCAAAGCTATAGTTCTGAAATGGTCACTGTTTCATATAAAGCCAAGAGAAACTACTATAAGCAGTACACTACACTGTCAATACAGAACTATACTCAATAACCAGACATTTAAGTGGAAAGAGCAGCAGCTAAAACAGCCTGTTTTATATTAAGAAATACTCCTGGAGTTTCCTGCACTCCAAAGTTTTACATACCTGAATATATTAAACAGTTCACACATACTTGGTGCACACTAATCATTACCTCAACTCTGTATTTGATTAAAAGCAAATAACCCCATCTAGAACATGGTACTTCTCTTCAAAGCTGTCTCTGTGGGGAATTCAGATTATTATTCAATACATCTGAAATTTAACAGTCACATCTTAAGTTGTGCGTACCTTAGCGAACGCATGTTTTCCAGAAGCAATGTCCTGGAGTATCTGTGGGGACTCTCCCAGATGATCATATGTGTAGGTCAAATTCACAGGAGAGCCAACAAGGGCCACTTGCAAGTCATTGTGAAGCCAGCTGAAAACACAGCAAACATTTTATAAAAATCAAAGCAATAGTTTTACTCAACCAAAGCCATTAATTATCATTTTAGCAATAACTGAGTAGGATGCAAATTCCTTCAAAGGAATTGAAACAGCATTCATTGTTTTGGTAACATGCAGTTTAGCATTATTCTGACTGTTAAGCAAGCTTAATGGTTTTTTAGGACTATTTCTTTAGGTACATTCTGGGACCCGTGCACCAATGTATCTTATATGAGAAATTCGTAACTCAAACTTTTGCCGACTCAGTGGAAAAAATGTTGTATAAAATGAGGTGCTATAAATTTAGATCTCTTTCAGTGTTAGGAAAAAACAAACAAAACAAAAAACCTCAGACCTACAGCTACTATTAAGTTTGCTTAACTGTTAGGTTACTTCAGAATTTAAGTTAAAGTCATTTGCGGGAGTAAAGAATTCTGAATTTGACAGCACTCGCAGTTTTAGAAATTTATTTATTTCTTAGATAAATGGATCAAAGTTTAGCTGGTGAGAAATTTCCATTTTCTGCAGCTTCTCATAGCACGGACTGATAAAAAATATATGAATCGTTCATAAATTTAATTGCATTTTTTCCTCTCAAAATTTTAATGCCACTGTTGTTTAAAATTATGTATCTTGGAAGATCTCAGCATTAGAAAGGACAGGGCTTTTATAAACCTCAGTTATCTCCTGATGACATATCTTGTTAAAGTTGAATTAACAATGTTCAGAAGTTTGGGAAAACCACATTACGTGAAGAAAAAAAAAAAAAGTTAAATTTGAATGACTGCTTCTAAAATCAAGTTTGCTTTGTTATAACAATACAAAAAGCAGCAAACTGATGCTGAAAATAATTCTTTAAGGAATATGCTTTAATAAACTTCGGTAAGACAGAAAATCTGAGGTGTCTGTGTAATGTAACAAAGGAATAAATGTCTGAGTATATGAACTTACGTAAAATGTCAAAGCGAGAATGAACAAAACACAGTTGTATATTACAGAGAGAAAATATCCCCTTTTTCTATACATATATCACCATTCCCTTTGCTAAAAGATTAACTGAATCCAGTGACTCCATCTGGATGAACACTCTCAACTTACTGCCTGTGGCTCCACCTGAGCACTGCATCAAATCCAGATGGATTTGCATGCTTATTCACCACCAAGGCATACAAACCTCTTTCGAATTCTGGCATTAAAAAGTGGTGCCTCAAAGCGTGGATTGGTGCCAACCAGAAGCAGGACATCTGCCTCCTCCACTCCAGCAATCTTGGTATTAAGCAGGTAGTTAGAGCGTAAATCTGTGCTGTAACAAAAGGATGCAAAAAAAGATGAGAATTCAGTAAAAGGGAGAAATGAAGGTATGGTAAAGATTCTAGATACTCAAAATATTTTTTCATCTGAGGAATAGAAAGGGAAAGAAGAGATTTCTCAATCTGAATTACCAAATAAAAAGTAAAAGTGTCACCCTTTCATAAGTATCAGAGACAACAAAACTTTAAAGGAATTACAATGTGGATATTTCCTGTGTTTACAGTTACTGTCAGCCTTCACAAACTTCATCTGCTATTACACAGTTTACAAGGTCATAATTCTACTATAGTTTTCACAACACAAACAGAAATAAGACTAAATTATCCCATTTACAACAGAATGTAACTGGCTTTCAGTAGCCTACTGCTAAACTGCAGCAGCCCCAAACAGTAAAGTGTGCAATCCCTGCCATAGTAGAAACTATGCATCATCTCACAATCCATATAATATGCAAATGCATCTATAAATGAATATTGTAAATGCAAACAAAACCTGCTAAAGCATCAGCAGTTGCTATCCTTGGTCATTTCAGAATCTTACCATGAGGTGATCTGCAGACTGGAAAGGTTAACATATTAAATACAAACAAACTTTGCCTGAACTCTTACCCAGCTCCAGCAGTAGGGAAGACTTCTTCAGTGCAAAGCGTGTCACAATTTACTCTATTCAGTAAGTCTTTCAGAGCTATTAGCGCTTCTGCATCCACCAGTCCGCCCACAATTGCTGCTGCTTCCTTACCTTTAACAGCCTGTAGCTGGAGAGAAAGTATAAACATAAGCAAAAGAAACCACTGAAATAAATTCCCATTTGGCCCAGATGAATGTTTATTACATTGGGATGTGCCAAAGCCAGCAGTGCAACTGTTGGCCTGGAGGAGCACAAACTGATCAGCAGTGTCTGACTTCCACAAGGCAGCAACTCCAGCTCCTTCAGAACTCATTATAAACAAAGAGCGGCGATCTTATTCTATGCAGGTCTCTCCCACTTGAGTTATTGCTCAGATATGGCTCATTCTCATTCAGTGTGGTGAGGAGAGGAAGACTGGTGAATGCTTTTATTTTAATGAAGCTACAGCGCAGACAGAATACAAACTTCCATAACACAAGCTCAGGCAGTCAACTCAACTCAGAGGTATTATCTGAGAAGCAATAGCTTTTGTAACAAACCCTGCTACTGTACCACAGACAAAACATCCTTGAGGGAAGTTCAATTACAGTTATTCAATTCTACTTCATCCCACATAAAAATTTTAATCAAAATCCAGAGCAGTCATGCAGCACTTCATTTAAACAGCAGAATCAATCACCACACAGAGAAAGCACTGAGGCAAGCACAATTCAGATAAGTAATATAGAATTAATGGCTTTGATGACAAAAGTGGTGATAGCACAGTTTAAATAAATTTAAAGAAGTCTTCAGATAAATCAGAGTAATTCAGGAAAGTTGTTTCCTCCTGAATTTCTGAAGGAACTGTTTAGCTTCCTATTTGAATGTCCCAATGTCCCAAATGAAATCATGAAGAAACAAAGTTCTTCAGATGGTCTAATCCATGAAACAGGAAATAATATTAAAAAGAAATTTAAGTGGAAATACAATGGATTAAAAGTCTAACCTTCAAGAAAAAAGCCTTTTTCTATGTAACTTTTCATATTAATGACTGTAATATGTCCAGTTTTAGAAATTAATTTTACACTACATATATTGAAAATTGTTCTTACCACACCAGCAACACGAGTTAATACATCCTCCCATGAGGCATAAACAAATAGTCCTTTCTCATTTTTAATCATTGGCTGAGTAAGTCTTTGACGCTTCAGACCATCATAAGCAAACCTAAGTGAACACCACTAATATTATTAAAGAGCAAAGACAAAAAGATAATTGTGTATACTAAATATTTTCTACAACTGAGTTTTCTAACCGCTTGTAGTGATTAGAAAAGAGAAACACAAGAAACATTTCCCCTGAAAATTTAGCTTTTCCTTCTCAAAAGCAAGCAAAAAAATCTGCAATACAAATTTAAAGGTTACTGTAAAAAAAGCAGCTACAAAAATAGAAACAGTAGAAAACTCAGTAACTTCAATTATAGTATTAAAATTATGTTTTATCAATTATTCTTCACTATAGCTTTACAATATTAACAGTGGAATCCAGAAGTAGCGCTCCTGTCCACATTTCTGATTCTGCAAAGCACGCCTTTAATGCGTGCATAAACGTGCACATGGGTACAAACATCTCCCACACACCTTGTTTTGTCAGATATCCATTCCTCATTGATATCTTCATGCAGCCTTGGCAAAATTCTCATCACTTCTCCAGTTCTCGTGCTCACTACAATGTTGCTTCCAAGTGCATCAAGAACATCAATTGACTCTACCTTCCTGTTTAGAAGAACAAATAAACCATTTGTAGTTTTCTATATACAAGCAGCAACAGACTGCCTGTCTAAAACAAAACAACAACCAAAACAAAGTACCTTAGGTTTAGCTTTGGATATACACATAAGAGCTTGGTTTCACAAGATACTTTAAATAATATCCTCAACAATTACTGAGTTGATGACTGACTTTTCCTTTACACACATTGTTTACTGAGCAGTCAGCACAACCTACGAGTCCAAAACATTTTAGAGTAAAAATAAGGGAAGAATAGTCTACATAAACTATAATGTTCTTCCTTTTGTTGAATGAGCTGTGAGTAACAGAATTTGTGTTAGATTCAGTCTATGGAAAAGTCTACAACAAAACCACAGAGAATAAATATCAAAGAAAACCGTTGGTATCATAGATGGACCTACTCAAAATAAAGTGTATGACAGAAGCAGAGAAAGCTGCATATTCATTATGAGTTAAGATACACACCTCGTCTCCCATGGGCGTGCAGTAAAGGCATATGGCTTGGAGGTAAGAGCACCAACTGGGCAGATGTCAATAATATTTCCTGATAACTCAGACATGAACATTTTTTCAACGTAAGTACCAACTTGCATATCATTTCCTCTTCCGGTTGTTCCCAAGTCATCTACCCCTGCAACCTCACTAGCAAACCTGGTAGTTGCAAAAAGAATGAAAAACAAATCTGGAATGTACAACAGCAACATAGCATATTTTTCAACGCTTATCTCATTTTCTTAAGATAAAACATTAGCCTTAGTTCATACTCCTGAGAGAAAACCATTGTTTAGATGCATTAGTCAGCACTAATCACACACAGGACTACACATCTGCAGAATTTCATGCAGACAAGGCTACAAAAACTAGGTGGCGTTAAATCAAAAAACATAGCAGTTCAGTGCTCACTTTCTGGAACTAGGTGGGTACACTGTATTCTTTTCCATCTTGCTCAAGTTAGCTGGTACTGAATCTCATGACTACAGAACTGCATAAATACAGCTAACAGAGGCTGTCTAGAATAAACAAACCTTGCAATTGTGGCCGAGGACTTAAATGTTTTAAAATCCATTCTGGCACTATCACCATGAGACCAGTCCTGCCCTGTATAATTCTGATTTCACTTTCATGTTTTGGCCATCTCTCCCTATTTCCTGTATGACAGCTGTCTGGTAACTCTGGGAAATCAGCTATCAGTCCCTACCAGAAATAAGATTCTTAAGTACAGTCACAAAATAAATTAAGAAATTGACTGCCCCTCATGGTATTTCTTTCACAAGTAACAAGCTGATATAAATATGCATGCTCAGTACTCTCTCCAGTGAAAAATAACGTACATTACCTGATACATCGAGTGCACTGTATACACCGAGTCATGATTGTTTTGACTAATGGGCCAATGTTCTTGTCCTCCACAGCACGTTTTCCCTCTCTAAATCTACTCCTATCACTGCCGAACATCATCGATTGATCCTAGAACAGACAACAGAAAACAGATACATCCAGGCTGCTGGAAAGCACAATTTCACGTAAGACAAGAGTATTATTAAATGTCTACACAATTTAATCGGATGTCATACCTGTAGATCACATTCTCCACCCTGATCACAGATAGGACAGTCCAGTGGGTGATTTGCCAGCAGGAACTCCATTACACCCTCTCTGTTGGGTTTGGGAGTTACAGTTAATGTCAACCTTATATCACTCAGCAGATAGTACACCTTAGCAGCTACAGGAGACTAAAAGAAAGGTACCTTGCTTTCCTGGACTTCTCAGAGTTTGTCAGTATGTTCCACCCCTTCATAACTGGCATGGCACAAGCTGCAACTGGCTGCAATCATCATTAAAAGCAAGCATGAACACAACACATTTCTTCTCAACATGGGCACAAACCCCAACCTCTCCCTTCCCCCACATTCTTACATAGACACTGGTTATTAATTTAACATGTTGTGGAAATAAAAAGGTATCTGCAAGGAAATAAAATAAGATCTAACCAGTAAAGTCACTAGAAGCTATATTAATAATCTGCTATATAAAAAGGTTAAATTAGTTAAAACTTACTTATTTTTAAAATTGAAAACTCTACACTTTTGGGTTCCAATTCGAGTAGTTATAGAAAAAAGAATGTAAACTGTAACAGATACAAGGCAAGTTAAAGAGATTCAGCAGAGATCTGGAAACCTCTAGAACTGAAGTTCAAAATATGCATCATTTACAAGATATTTATTTGGATAAAGCCTATACAAAGAATTTTGGAACAAAATTGTTCACAAGATTACTGCAAGATTAACAAAAGCTCCTGCTCAGAAAATGAATCCCTCCTACTTTTCAATCACATGATGAGAAGAGACCATCTGACTTCCACGTTTAGTGATAATCTAACATTTCCAGAGATGCAAAGCTCAAACTATGGAATTCAAGTTGAGGTGATCTAGAAAACACACAGCTGACAAATGCTCATGTCCAGGAGCAAGATAATCCATAAGAATCTGAGAACTGACTGATCCATAGGCAATCACAGTGGTCCACTAGGGAGAAGTGAAAAAGCTGCTTTGAGCAGCTGAATGACAACAATTTGTGTGCTAATGATAGTACAAACAATTATTTACAAGATTTAAGCTAGGTCTTAGGCACAGCAGAAAATTACAGTCCCTACTGAAACACATACCATACCTTTGGAGCTTTCTCTATTTCCACAAGACACATCCTACAGTTTCCAGCAACAGAGAGACGATCATGGTAACAAAAACGAGGTATCTGAATTCCAGCCTTTTCACAGGCCTATAAAGAATAAGAAACAAAGGAAAATTAAATTGTAACTAGACCTCTCAGTTCCACCTCATAAAACATTATTTTCAAAGAATAACTGTCATTGCTCAGGAATATAGGGCATTTACCTTTCATCTTAATAAATGACCATAAATAAAAAATTGCAATCAAGCAGAAACATGTCAGGTTATCAATTACAAATATATTTTTTTTCCAAAATTTGTAACTGATTGAGGAAATGAGAACTGACTTCTCATTCATTCTTTCCTCCAAGCGCACAGAAAATTCTCTCTGCTAGGACACTGGCCATACAAATAAATTTTTAAAGAATGCATGCACTATTTAAAGAAAAGTGCAGGAAAGGAAAATTTGATAAATATAAAGGAAACAACAATGGACATAATGATTTCTGGTAATTCAACACCACAGATACTCTCTATACAAAGTTACTGGAGCATAGTCCACCTTCAAATTCACTAGAACCCCAATCTCAAAGAAACATTCTTCTATAACATGTCTGGAGGAGAGATAGGAGGACAGAGGCAACAGATTTCCAGAGAACAGACAAAGACGGCCTTTCCTGTGTAAAATCCCCACAGCTGATGGGATCTATGCTATAGCTATGCCTGCCAGAAGAAATACCATCGAATTCAATAAAAAAGAACTAACAAGATCTAGTCTTTCTTATGATTTCTACAAAAAAATTATCACAGGTAAGTAAAACCAAAAAGCTAATAAAAAATAGCATTTAAGAAAATTTTACACTAGACTCCTGCTGAAGGCCTTCTAATGCCTAGATTAATAACCTGTATCCAAAGAATGAAGGATATGTTTTGAAATAAACATTATGTACCTTTAATGTTCTAACTCACTATACCACATCCCCATTCAATGGCTCCTTAAAAAGTTAGGCTGGAAGAAGATCTACTTGAAATTTTGGCTTGAAAAGCAACGATGCAGAGTATGAGCTGGGAGATCGTTTCTGTTTCTTCCCACACCAAAAAGAATAAAAGCAGCGAAGGATCAGCATTCTGAATCATAAGAACTAATATCCAAAAGGAAACAATCCCTCATTTACCAGAGACACCACTTTAATAAAATACAAAATTAATATGTTCTTAAAGACTACCAGGTCACAAAGAGTTCAGAGCAAGAATTTCAATCAGAAAGTCTGTTACTGCATTGCACAAATTTTTGAGTTGGAATTCACACTGCATGCATCTTCCTTCAGACAATATAGCAGATGCTTCTTTTTCAAACACTGAATTCCCCAAAGGATTTTTGCCACATCAAATTGCATCACAGTCACCAAAAAGACCCCTAAAGACATCATGTAAAGGGTTGGGGTTTTTTGCTATATAGAATAGAATGTGCTGCTGGGAAGTAAGATAGAGTGCCAGAAAAATTCTGCATGCCACTCCCCACACCTGAAGTACGGTGGTTCCCGGGTTCACCAATACAGGATGACCATCCACAAACACTTCTATTTGGTTGCTGGGTGCTGTTGCAGTTGTACGCCCTGAGACACGGAAAAAGAAAACAAAAACTTTCAGTTACTGCTTGATGCAAACCATCAGGCCCCAGGCTCCTCATCTTAGTTTTCCAGTTCTAGAACTTGGCCCACACAGAAGTTCAGAGCTGCAAATGAAGTACACATACATGTCCTTCAATCTATCAATTATGCATACGTGAATTTTATCAACACACACACACACGCATGAACTAGAGACACTTACCACATACTTTGGAGGACTGGGTGACCCCAGCTAAGGTCCTGCGGACTGCAGGTAGTCGAAGCATGGTCCTGTGAGAAAACAGCACTGAATGTTTATCAGTTCAAATGTTTGCTGACAGGTTTTAATCAGGCAGAGTAAAAAGTTCCACCACAGTTGCAAAGAAGAACGTATGCACCTGCATGTGCACAGTTATAGATAAGAAGTTATTTTCTTAACCTTCAAGATAGTGTTCTCTTTTTGCACGCTTCATATACACATATACGTCACCTTACACGGTGACTGTCACGCCGACAGACCCGCGGCAGCCTAGCTCAAGCCACCAACTCTGCAGGAGCTGCCAGCAGCCCGGACGAGGGAAGAGCACCCGCCGGGAACTGGCGCCAGCTTCGCTGCAAGCGCTCCGTGCTGACAAACCAGCGCAAGGGCGCGCCCACGACAGCCGCTCCGCCGCCGGCCCGCCACCAAGCAGCCTCCCCGCCTGCAGCGGGCCAACGCGCGG